TAATACTTTTACCACCACTATAATTCAAAGCAATCAATTATTCTTTGTTGTTGTTGTTGTTGTTGTTGTTGTTATGTGCCATTGAGTCAGACCCGACCCATAGCGACCCCTCCTTGGGTTTCCAGGGCAGTATCATTACGGAAGTAGATTGCCCCATCTTCCTTCTGGGGAGTGGCTGGTGGGCTTGAACCACCAGCCTTCTGGTTAGCAGTCAAGTGCCTTAGCCACTACGCTACCAGAGCTCCCTAATTATTCTTTAGTCTCTCTAATTCATTGTCTGGCTTTCACATGCATACGAGGCAATTAAAAATATTGTGGCTTGCATCAGGCACATCTTAGTCCTTCATCTTTGCTCTTTAACACTTTAAAGAGGTATTTTACAGCAGATTTGCCCAGGGTAACACATAATTTGATTTCTTGACTGCTGCTTCCATGAGTGTTGATTATTGACCCAAGTACAATGAAATCCTTGACAACTTCAAACTTTTCTCCACTTATTGTGATGTTGCTTATTTGTCCAGTTGTGAGGATGTTTGTTTTCTTTATGTCACAGTGTAATCCATACTGAAGACTGTGGTCTTTGATTTTCATCAGTAAGTATTTAAAGTCATCTTCACTTTCAGCAAGCAAGGTTGTGTTATCTGCATACCTCAGGTTGCTAATAAGTCCTCCAGTCCTGATGCTGCATTCATCTTTCTTTTAGTCTAGCTTCTCGGATTATTTGCTCAGCATACAGATTGAATAAATATGGTGAAAGGATAAAACCTGATGCACATCCACCTTGATTTTAAACCATGCAGCATCCCCTTGCTCATCATGATAATTGGAGAAACACTGAGGTTGTCAGAGACTTCATATTACTTGTTTCTACAATCAACACCAATGGAAGCAGCAGTCAAGACATCAGAAGATGTATTTTATTGGGCAAATCTGCCACAAAAGACCTCTTTCAAGTGCTGAAAAGCAAAGATGTCTTCTTGAAGACTAAAGTGCATCTAACCCAAGCCATGGTATTTCCAATCATCTCTTATGCATGTGAAAGCTGGACAGTGAATAAGGAAGACTGAAGAAGAGTTCATCCTTTTGAGTTGTAGTGTTGGCAAAGAATGCTGAAAGTACCATGGACTGCTAAAAGAACTAACAGATCTGTCCTAGAAGAAGTGCAGCCAGAATGCTCCTTGGAAGTGAGAATGGCCAGACTTTGTCTCATGTACTTTAGTCATGTTGTCAGAAGGGCCCATTCTCTGGAGAAGGGTATCATACTTGGTGAAGTGGAGGGTCAACAAAAAAGGGGAAGGCCCTGAACAAGATGGATTGACACAGTGGCTGCAACAATGGGCTCAGGCATAGGAGGGATCATGAGGCTGGCACAGGACCGGGCAGAGTTTTGTTCTGCTGTATGTAAGGTCACTATGAGTTGGAGAGGACTCGATGGCACCTAACAACAATAACAACAACATCCTCTTGTTCTGTTCGAATAACAGCCTCTTGGTCTATGTACAGATTCTCCATGAGCACAGTTAAGTGTTGTGACTTTCCATTCTTCTCAATGTAATCTGTAATTTGTGATGAGCCACACAGTCAAATGTTTTTGCATAGTTGATAAAATGTAGGTAAACATCTGTCTGGTATTCTTTGCTTTCATCCAAGATCCATCTGACACCAGCAATGATATCCCTTGTTCCATGTCCTCTTTTGGATCTGGCTTGAATTTCTGGAAGTTCCCTGTCAATATACTGTTGCAATCATTTTTGAATTATCTTCAGCAACATTTTACTTGCATATGACATTAATGATATTGTTTGATAATTTCCATATTCTGTTGGATCACCTTTCTTTGGAAGGGGCACAGATATCAATCTCTTCTAGTCAGTTGACTAGGCAGCTGTCTTCCAAACTTCTGACCATAAAGAACTGAGAACTTCCAGTGCTGCATACTTTTGTTGAAACATCTCAATAGGTATTCCATCAATTCCTTGTTTTTGCGAAGGCATTGGACTTCTTTCAATTCCATCAGTTACTGATCATATGCTACCTCCTGAAATGCCTGGACTTCAACCAATTCTCTTTGGTACAGTGACTCTGTGATACCTTCTATCGATCTTCTTTTGATGTTTCCTACTTAATTCAATATTATGCCCACACAGTCCTTCAGTATTGTAACTCGAGGCCTGACTTTTTTTCAGTTCTTTCAGTTTGCAAAATGCCATGTGTGTTCTTTACTTTTAGTCTTCTAATCCCAGGTCTTTGCATATTTTATTATAATATGTTGCTTTGTCTTCTGGAGCAACCCTTTGAAATCTTCTGCTCAGCTCTTCTACTTCATCATCCCTTCCATTCATTTTGTTTACTCTACATTCAAAAGCAAGTTTCAGTCTCTTTTGACATCCATTTTGGTCCTTTCTTTCTTTCCTGTCTTTTTAATGACCTTTCACTTTCTTCATGTATGATTTCCTTGATGTCATCCCACAACTCATTGCTCTTAGGTCATGTGGTAATTTGGTTTGTGTGTCAGCTTGGCTGGGCCTGGTTGAGTAGCTGGGCAGCTTGATGTAGTATTCCTCATGATGAGACTGTTAATCAACTCCATGGTGGAATCTACTGTGAGCAGCTGAATAGCTGCCTTAGGGAGTATAGTCTGCTTCCGGAAATAAGCAGAAGCCTTGGGGAATGGTCTCTAGCTTGTGGCATGCTTGGACCCTGCATGTAGCTGTGTCATTGTTCAGCCACCTGCCATGCTCTGCCAACCTTGAGACTTACAATGGACTTGAATTAATGGCCTGCCATGTGATTTGGTAATATCGGGACTGTGCCTTGTTACTTGTCAACCTTGGGCTTGGCAGCTTCAGCAGTCAGCAGCTGTCTGAGTGAAGAAATGCCTCTAGCTCCAGTGGGCCAGGAGCAGGAGGCAGAGCTGAAGCCCAAGGCTTAGGGGCTTTCACCCAGCCCCTAGAGCCTGGCACTTTGAACTCAGACTTAAAGCCTCCAAATTGTAAGAATAAACTCCTATTTGTTAAGGCCATCCTATTTGTGGTATATTCTTATCAGAGAGGTACTAGGTGACCAGAGCAGATCATTAGAGTTAAATGCACCAAATCTATTCTTAAGATAGTCTCTAAATTCAGATGGGCTATACTCCATGTCATACTGTGGGTTTTGTGGACTTGTTTTAATTTTCTCCAGCTTCAACTTGAACTGGCATATGAGCAACTGATGGTCTGTTCTGCTTTCAGTGACATTGCTTCCAGCATCACAGCAACATACAAGCCACCACATTACAATAAACTGGCAGGTGAGCAGTGGACATAAAGGAATACTATAAAGCAATGTAGGCTTGTGTGTTGCTATGATGCTGAGAAGGTTTCAACAGCTGTTTCAGTATAAGACAAACTAAGAAGAAAGGTCTGGCAATCTACTTCTAAACAACCACCAATGAAAATCTTAAGAATCACAATGGTGCAATCTGGTACTGATCCAAAGACAGGATGCAGAACCAAGCAGTCTTTAATTTTGTTGTGTATTCATTCTCCATGTGTCAGGAGTTAACTCTACATCAGCTGTCATCAATAACATAAAAAAGTGACAATAAATGAATACAGAACATCATGAAAGATTCTCACAGATAATGCCCAAGTGAGGGAACTAGACAGAAATACACACTATATGACTCCATTCACTGAAAGTTAATAAATCTGTGAAAAGTAATATCTGGTGTTAAAAGTTACGTAGTGGTTCTCCTTAAAAGCAATTGGGAGCCAAGAGGATAGTTACATCAAAAGACCAAGAGGGGGCTTATGAGGACCCAGTAATATTTTTTCATCTGGTACAGCTTTTGTGGGTATATCCATCTTGAGAAAAAAAAATGAGCTGTACATTTATGATCTGCATACTTTTCTGTGCACATTTTATACAGCAATAAGTGGTTTACAAAAAAAAGGACATAGTAGCCAAATTGAGTATGTCCCACTAGTCAGATGGGGGTCATCCTGAACATCAGAAAACATAAGGTCATCGGTGTATTTAAACACACCAAATATATTAAAATCCAGAAATTTATAACAACGTGGAGAAAAATATCACTGGTCACTTTGGAGATGATCAAGGCAGCAACTCATTATTCTAAAACCTGGTCAAATAAAGAGAAACAATCAAGCATTATCTTTCCCTTCCTATATGGATTATATTTCAGGGTAATTAAATAGTTAATCTAAGAACATTCTTCTTAGATTAACAGAATTAGAAAATCAGCATTTTTCAATTCCTAATGAAATAATATTTTCTGAGGCAGTAAATCTTTACAGAAGTAGATTGCCCAGTCTTCCTTCTGTGGAGCAGCTGGTGGGTTTGAACCATCAATCTTCTAGTTACCAGTCAAATGCCTTAGGCACTATGCCACCCTAGCTCCTTATAATAAAATAGCAATATGTGTCTACTGATATGATGCAACAAGAAACATATGACACCACATTAATGAACCTGAAACTAATCAAGTCTTTGGCTCTAAATGCAGGGAATACACAAACACATTAAATGACATCCTAAGGATGTAATCGGCACATTCAGAGTGCGAGAAATTTTATAGGACAAATGACCCGATTTCTTCAAAAGAGAAATTCCATAGGTAAAAATCTATGGTGACAGCTGACTTAAAGACTGAGACTTAAATAAATATCGGCAAACAAATTGAATAAATATGGTGAAAGGATAAAACCCGATGCACATCCATTTTGATTTTAAACCATGCAGTATCCCCTTGTTCATCATGCTAAATGGAGAATCAAATAAATATGTGAATCAAATAAATATGTAAACTGGTATTTGCTTTCAAAATACTGCAGCGACTCGACGGCACATAACAACAACAACAACAGCAGCAGTGAAAGGAAGTGGTGGTATATAAAACAGGATTGGTCAATTGTTGATAATTGTTGGTACTTTGGGATATATACACAATGGTCCACTTCTGAGACTATTAGAAATTTCATACATAAAGGACTTACCCCATCTTTGGCCTTCACCAAGAGATCATAGGTGGCTGGGTCCCTTTCCCTGTCGATATCTTGAGAAACACAGATTCGTCCATCATGTGGGTCAATCTGAAATGCTTCAGGTGCTACATAGCTTTGGAATCCATCATAAAGAGAATATTCAACAAAGCCGTAGAGCCCTGCATCTGCATCGGACGCTTTCACCTGTGAAGCAGGAAGTAAAATGCAAGCATTACTTTTCAGTTGGTTATGAATTATTATAATGCTTTGCACACAGTCAAGTAACCACGAATTATGCACAAAGGACAGGCTTTGGTTTCATACTATCTCTCTCTCCCTCTTACCTTCTGTGACCACCTACCCTCCGTCTTCCTCCTTTCCTTTTGAGTTCTTTTTAGTCTCCTTTGCCTATTCTTATGATCTCATTCCAGTGATCTCAAATTTCCAGCTCCTTGAAGCTCAGCCTTAGGTCCCCTTGTCTTTTATTCCTTTCACACTACCTAGGTGATCTCAGCCAATGCCAAGCATTTAAAAACATCCATATGTTAAAGACTTTACAACGAATTTACTAATTCCCTCTGATATATAAGCCCTTTAAATGTTGGGCTCACTCCCTGCCTCCATACTCTTTGAGAGCAGCAAGGAAACAACAAAGGAATCAAGGCAGTAAGTGGTACCATTACTGGTAATTAAAGCAAATTGACAGAACTCACACAAGTATGAGCTCTAGAGTCTTCCAGGCCAGATCGCCTTCTGGGGAGCAATGCCCCAATCAGGGCCACTGTCAGTCGCGCAGACTAAACACTGCACAAAGGCACCAGGCCCAGAGCGTGAATGGTAACTGAAACCAGCCCATGCTTAGCTTGCCAAGAAATGTACTCTAAAGTGGAGCTGCCCAGAAGAAAGGACATCTCCCCCTACCCTCCGTGACAGCATTTACACTAGCATCAGACCTAAGCCTGGTAGAAAAACTGAAGCAACTAGAATTATTATACCAACTGTGGGAGTACACAATGAGACATACAACAGGCTATATATATGGTACTCAAAAAATTCTTGAGCTCATAAACTCAACATAATCCCTTTGACTTATAACTCAGTTAACAGTAACAGCAAACATCTATACCTATACCACACAATCAAATTCCAACTGGGTTCCAGAAAGTAGCAAAAAAAATAGATAAGACGGTAGCAAATGGAAATAAGAGAGAATTAAGAGGATCAATTCAGTTGAATCAACATCCAGTTAATAGGCACTTCAGAAAAAAGAGAATAGAGAATGGAGAAAATGAAAGCAGTAGCTATTACTTTGGTTCACAAGGGTGTGCAATGGCTAGGTTCCCAAGCCCACTACCACAAGGGAGGAGAGAGATGGAGGATGCACACTGACTTTAAGTTCCTCAGCCCAAAAGTTCAGTTCAGTTCATATTTTATTGGACAGTACTTGTCACATGGCTTTAACCTAACTAAGGGAGGCTGGAAAATACAAAGAATCACAAGGATATTTGCTGAATACGAACAGTTTTGCCACAAGTGCCTTTAGTTTATTTTTAAAGATAAACATATAAAATTATGTAGGTCTCCAAGTCACCTCTATTTTGTAGTGAAATATAAGTAAGTGGAAAGTTACATCTGGAGAAGTTTTCCCAGTGTTATTCTACTATATAGATTTAATTTGACTGTAGTAGTCCTAAATATTTCTGTAAGGCTTTCATAGAGGGCAGACAAGAAGAAAATCAATGACCTACATTATCTGTACATAGAACAAAAGGCTGTCATTCAAACAGAACAAGGGGATACTGCATGCTTTAAAACCAGGAAGGATGTACATCAGAGTTGTATCCTTTTGCCATACTAATTCAATCTGTATGCTGAGCAAATAACCTGAGAAACTAGACTATATGAAGAAGAACATGATACCAGGATTGGAGGAAGACTCGTTAACAACCTGTAATATGTAGATGACATAACTTTGCTTGCTGAGTGAAGGGATGACTTGAAGCACTTACTGATGAAGATCTAAAACTACAGTCTTCAGTATGGATTACACCTCAAAATAAAGAAACCAAAAATCCTCACAACTGGACCAATAAGCAACGTGATGAACTGAGAAAAGATTAAACTTGTCAGGAATTTCATTTTACTTAGATCCACAGTCAACACTCATGGAAGCAGCAGGCAGAAAATCAGATGACATACTGCCTGATACAAGTCATGTCATTTTCAGTCTTATGAATGTGAAAGCTGGACAATGAATAAGTACGACCAAAGAAAAGCTGATGTCTTTGAACTGTGGTATTTGTGAAGAATATTGAAAATACCATGTACTGCCAGAAGAACGAACAAATCTGTCCTGCAGAAAGAGCAGCCAGAATGCTTCTTGGAAGTGAGAATGGCCAGACTCATCTCACCTACTCTGGTCATATTGTCAGAAGAGACCAGTCCCTGGAGAAGGATATTATGATCAGTAAAGAAGAGGGTCAGTGAAGAAGGGGAAGACCCTCAATGAGATTGAGTGACACACTGGCTGCAATAATGAGCTCAAGCATAACAATCATTCCAAGGATGGTGTAGAACTAGGCAGTGTTTCATTCTGTTGTACATAGGGTTCTTGTGAGTAGGACCTGACTCAATAGTCTAAAAACAACAACACATTAGCAGTATCCCTACTATCTCTCTCTCTCTCTCTGTCTCTGTCTCTCTCTCTCTCTCTCTCTCTCTCTCTCTCTATATATATATATATATATACATTGTTGTTGTTGTTATGTGCTGTCGAGTCGAATCCGACTCATAGTGACCTCTCCTTAGGCACTATGCTACCAGAGCTTATATGTGTGTGTGTGTATATATATATATATATATATATATATATATTTTTTTTTTTTTTTTTTTTTTATTTAAATAAAAAGTATGGATCAACTTTTCATAGAGACAATATACATAAAAGAGCTACACCTTAATTATAATGCTTACCAATGAAACATCATCCAGATAACATGTTCAACATCCAAAATTCTCAATATGTCTACTATTTCATCTCATTCTATCTTGGGCATATATGAGAATTTGACTTTTAGGGTTCTTTGTGTAGTCTGGTCCAGTAGTTCTGAACTAGGAGCAATTTTGCCCCCTAGGGGACATCTGGCAATGCCTGGAGGCACTTCTGCTTCTCACAGAGAAGCCAGAGATGATGCTAAACATTCTACAATGCACATGACAGGCTCCTACGATAAACAATTATCTAACCTAAATGTCAATAGTGTTGAGGCTGGGCAACCCTAGGCCTGATATAAGTCTTACTAATTGATAATAATATTTTCCTTCCGTTATTGTCTAATTTTTTTTTCAACTGATGATACAGCCTCTCAAATTTATCTTCACTCTCACCTATCTCATATTCTCTGACAAAAGTATTCATCCTGTGCAAACAGTGTACATATTTGCAAGTTATTCTTTGCATCAGATGGGCTGGGCTGAACCAGGAAATCTATAAATTTCCCCTCTACAAAGAATCAAGCTCCAAATAATTGAGTCTATTCCATTCTGACAGCTGTTAATAATTTAGTAGCTTCAAGTTCCCAAAGACACCAAATATATCTTCTAAAACCATATGGTATTCTGAATTAATTTTGGCTTATTTAGGAGACAAGCACAATTAACTTTAAATTCTAAAACTTATTCTCAGCCTTTGATAGTATGTATTAACAAGTGAGGGAGCCCTGGTGGTGCAGTGGTTAAAGTACTTGGTTGCTAACCAAAAGGTTAGCCATTCAAACCCACCTGCCACTCTGTGGGAGAAAGATGTGAAGTCTACTTCCATAAAGTTTACATCCTTTGAAACCCTATGAGGCAGTTCTACTTTGTCCTATAGGGTCACTATGAGTCATCATCAACTAGATGGCAGTGGGTTTGGGTTATTAACAATGGGCTTGTCTTTTATAAAAAGTTTCCTTATTTCTATTAGCAGAACCTTTTATCTGAACTTTGAAAAATCAAAATACAGGAAGTCAAAAGTGAGATAAGAGTTTGTTGTTGTTGCTGTTATGTACTGTCAAGTCGGACCCGACTCATAGTGACCCCTCCTTGGGTTTTCAAGGCAGTATCACTACAGAAGTAGATTGTCCCATCTTCCTTCTGAGGAGTGGCTGGTGGGTTTGAACCATCAGCCTTCTGGTTAGCAGTCAAGTGCCTTAGGCACTATGCAGTTCAGATTCTGAGTTTCAGAATCATAAAATAAGAGTATTTTCCACCCTCTCTGTTTTAGCACAACTCTCTAAAATTATTGACCCAATACTGCAGAACAACATATTCTACCTACTAATAATTGGGTCTTAAATGCCTAGAATTAATTTGATATTTTTATGAGGCTTGTATTTTCCAACATTCATTGACTGGCATATAAAATTTAGGGCATTTAAATAATAGAAAATGGAAATGAGTCTGCTAAAGCTTGAAGAGGGAATCTTCATTTATCAATAAGCTCAATGTGCCCTGGGTACAGAGACAGCTGCTTAAATGAAAGGAAGAAACACTGGGTCCAGCTCATCTGTTATCACAATGTTATGGTGCTAATTTGTGATGTAGAGGAGATCTTGGGAAAATTTTACTCCTGACTCTACTCAGAGCCACATTATAGTACTTCCAATATCATCCCTGTGCTCATCATCTCAATACATAATTTACCTATTTTAGACTGACATGAATTTGAGAATTTTCATTAATTTTTTCTGACTCCCAAAATTGTTCTTCCTGAGTCACAAATTTAATGGGAAGATTACTAAAATGCAAAATATTAATATGATATAAAGATCTCCCTGATTCCATTATTAGCTTTCTGAAATCTAAAAAGTGTTTACTACTTCCCTCATATTAACATCTGGATAAAGATTCTGCCATATGAATGTGGCATGGAGAGAATCAACAAACTAAACCACTAATCCTTGAAAGCATGTTTGCATGCTTTTTGGATGTTCCTCAAGTGGAAAAGATCTAATGTATTCCCTTTGCCAAAATGGGCTGTCTTTACCTGGGAAAGGAATCTTGGGTGCTATAAATGTTTAACATACTTGGATGTTAACCTAAAGGCTAGCAGTCCAAGAACATGCACAGACACCTCAGAAGAAAGGCCTGGTGATCTACTTTCAAAAAAATCAGACATTGGGAATCACATGGAGCACAGTTCTATTCTGACACATATGGTGTCACTATGAGTCAGAATTGACTTCATAGCCATTGGTTTTGTTTTTCATCTAGGAAGGTCTTTAACAACTGGACAGTCTTGTGTGGGGCCACTTGCTTAGCCATTCACATCAGCTAGCCCCAATCTGAAAGTCACAGGGTGATAAATTGTGGGCAACATGTTCTGTACCTGCTTCTAGGCAGTCATATTGATTTAGTGAGTGAGATTTATATAAAACTCACAGGGCTCAATCAAAGAATAGAATAAAACAAAAACAGAAAGAAAGTCCTGCAAAAACTGACAGCAGTTCAGGTGGAATTTTAAATTAAATAAACTAATTTAATTTTTTTCTTCATTATAATTTCTAAAATTTCTATCATGAGTATATAACAGTTTGTTTGAAGAAACAAAGTTATTGATACAACACACACAGACATACTGTATGTCTTAGTCTGGGTTCTCTAGAGATATAAAACCAGTGAAGCTTATTTATGTATACACATATATATATAGAGAGAGATTTATCTCAAGGAAATAGTTCACACCATTGTAGAGGCCATCAAGTACCAAGTCTGTGGGTCAGATGTCTAGCTGGAGGCTTCTTCTGACTCACCTTGTTGCAGGGGCTGACAAACCCAAGATCAGCAGGTTAAGACCACAGGCTGCTAGCTCACAGGATGCAAAAGCTAAAAAGTCCCAGAAATTGGCAGGCAATATGATAGGCTGCTGGCTCAAGTCCAAAGAATCAAAGGTCAGA